ACCTCGGCTGCCCTGGCCCCCTGCCCTGCACCACCCACCCAAGGGACCCCAAATGGCTGCAGTGGGCAGGAGCAGCACAGCTGGTGGCTCTGTGGGGACAGGGAAGGCGGCTCTGCACCAGAAGTGATTCACCACAGCTCTGCACTGGTGGCAGGGGAGGGTAAGTAGGACATCTAAGCTAGCAAGTTCAAAGAAATAAGGCATGAGAGAGTAAACAGATTTTGGACTTCGCTGGCAAACAAAGAGCCTTTTTTTATTATTAAAGATTAAATGTCAAGATAACATTTGGCCTTCTCACTCGTGAAGAAAAATATCCAGCTGAGATGTTCCAAAGCCCTTTATTACTACAAGCCAGCACTTTTCCCCCCTTTTCTTCCCTTTGGTTCAATAAAATGGATGTGAATTTTCCTGCCAAGCCACACAGAAAACCCAGTTGGCTGCTCCCAGTGACAGCAGGACCTGGCACGGCCAGGGGCATCCTGTTAGTAAAATACTCCTGCAAACCCCACAGAAACCTCCAGAACAAGCACCTGAGGAACCAGAGACTCTCTGTGCCCCCACAGCCCACATCCCACCCTGGCCACTCTCGTGTGCATCTCTCAAGACTGGAGGCAAGGCTTTCACACCTGCAGGGAGAGCTGGCACTGGGTTGGTTATTCAGGTGGGGAATGAAAAGATAATTTTTCATCTGCTGACCAGGGGTTCAGCACTGCACACTGCTCACAGCAGGGAGAAGGGGCACACCAAAGGCTGCTCCAGCCTGGGAAGGGCTGTGTGGAGGCTGGGATGCCCTGGCACCTGTCCGTGTGGTGCCTGAAAAGCTCCACAGAAAAAGCTGGAAGCTTTTCCAGAGCCAACACTTCACTCCAGCCCCTACAAATGAAACAGAAAGCTCCCATAATTAGCAGGAGGCTCAGAAAGCTGCATTTAAATGATTTCTCAGCCAGGGTTAGTTGCTAAGTGTTTGTCTTCCTCCAGGAGCTCAGGTGAGCTCACCTGGAGCCAGAGGCACCTTCACCATCACTGCAGCAAAGGGACCTGAACCACCTCCCCAGCAGGCAAATCCTGATGTGTTCTGGCAAGAACCACCTCGAAACAAGTTTGTTTTACACAAACCTGGAGCACCCTGTGACACTAAAAGGAAGAAGGAAAAATGCCTGCAATCCTCCAGACTCCAGATACTGCCTCACTAAGAAAAGTCAACACTTTTGGGAAACCTATGACAAAACTCCTGATTGTTGGAGGTTGTCAGGAGTTGTCCAAGGCTGCTGTGAACTGTGGGAACTGCAGAGCACTGACATTAACTCCTTGCAGGCTGGGAGGAATTGGAGCCTTTCCCCCTGGCCCCCAACACCCCATGGCAAGAACAGGAATTGGGAGCAGATGTCTGGGAGCTTGCTGCTGCAGGGCTGCCAGGGGACTGTGCTGTCTGGGGGCTGCCAGGGCCATCAACTGCCAGCACTCAGGAAATCCTGGCATCAAGGGACTCATTCCAGGTCCATTTCCCAACCAAGGGCACAGGGAGCCATCCTGCAGCACGAACCTCACAGCTCTGAGACTGTGCCTGAGCACCTGCAGCTCAAAGGCTTCCTCTATGCAAAACTCGCAATCCCAGGCGTCCCCAGGAAGCCCTGTGATAGATCAAGGTCAGCAGAGATGTGGAAAAGATTAGATGTGCTTGTAAGTCACAGCCAACCACCTTTTATCTCCAGCCCCAGCCATCCTCCATCCCCTGGACTACAGAAGCTCCTTCCTGTGCTGATGGAGATCAAGGGCCAGCAGCCAGCAGCTCTGGCAGGGATGGAACAGGGCAGGAGAATGCCTTGCTTGCTTCCTTTGAATCTGCTGTGGCTTTTCTTGCAGAGAAGATTCTGAGCCTGTGAATTTTGATCAGCAGGTGAAGCCTGAGGGACAGGGACAGGCTTTGGGGAGCCTCGGGCCCACTCTGCCCAGTGTCACAGCACTGAAAAGCACTGAGGGAATGTGAGAGGGGACACAGAAGGATATAAAACATGTGGGTTCACAAAGCAGCCCCAGCAGGATTTTTCAATGCCAATATTGGTGCGGGTGGAGTTGGGAGCTGCTGTGCAGGGCTGGCACAGCAAGAGCTGGACCTCTCAGGCAGTGAGGCTTTATCTCAGCCCATCCTTCAGCAGAGCCTTTATCCCCATTTAACATGCACGTGGGATGCTCCTCCACCTCCAGCCAAGTGCTTTGTGACAGGGAGCCAGGAGCTGGGAGCCAGAGCAGCCTGGCACTGGGCTGAGGCAGGGCAGGAGGCAGGGATGGTGTCTGGAGCCTGCTCCTGCACACTGCCACGCTCACACCGACCTGCTCACACCTTCAGCTGTGCCCAACCACAGAGGTCACTGCTGGGAGACAAACTCTCCCTCCAGCAACTCCTGAGACATCTCTAAGTCAGGATTCCTGCTGGCATCTGCTAGCAAGGACCCCAAGGCTGCTGGGCCTGGGCAAAGCACGACAAGCTGGATGCTGGAATCCCACCCAAATAAACTCAGCTCAGCCATGCTGGAATTCCCTCCAAATAAATCAACTCAGCCATGAGTGATGAAGGGGAAGAGGAAGGGAAGAGGAGAGGAGACGTGAGGGTTTAGACATCACTGTCCTACAAGGGGAACTCACACGGTACTGGGATGACAGTCAGGCCCTTAGGGACCAGTAAATGGCACCTGATGACAAAAATCCCACTTAGGCACCACTGAAATATGCTGTATTGCAAAGGAAACAAAGCAGGGTAAGTCTGGACAGGGGACTGAGACAGACTCTGCATGGGGATCACTGTCCCCTGCACACAGCCCACATGGAGCCTTGGTGACACCCTTCCCTCTCACAGCACCAAAACCCAAACACTTAAACACCTCTGCAGGGACTCATAACAAATATGAGTATTTTAAATTAAAAAAATCCAGGTGAGAAACAGTGCAGAATGTGTGTCTGCCTTCCCTGCCACAGTGGTCAGGTGAGGAAATCCTCATGAGGGACAGAAACCACTACAATTCCCTCTTTGAGCAGAGGCAGGATATTCCTTGTCCCTGGGCAGCCATGCATGGGGGTGAGCAGCTCTGCAGGGATGGGGGAGCTTGGCAGTGTGGGGTTAAAGTAACATTCACTGATTTTAGAAATCTTTTCCAACATAAATGATCCTATGATTCTCATCAGAAATTCATTTTTCACCTCCTGTCAAGCATATCCTACAACCAGAGTTGGACATCTCCAGCCCTTTTCTCCTCCAAGACCCTCCTCGTTCCTGCCTTGTCCCACTGCCCTCGGGATGCATTCCTGCACAAACAGGTTTCTTCACAACTTGTTGATCCAGAGCTATAATTTCTGGATGACTCTCTCATCTGCCATAAACAGCCACGCACAATTTGGCAGGCATTTCCACCATCAATGTTTATGATAATAACTAAACGTGCTTGAAAGCAGCAGGAAATTTTCAATATAACTATCATTAAGACAAAATGCTTTAAATCAAAGCCATTACCCACCACCAAGACTCAAAGCTCACAAGATTAGTCTGTTTTTCTATCTTTA